AGAGAAAAGCTGTTGCTGGTTATACCTGTAGTAGATTTGAAAGCTAACTCTGCGTAGGAAATACATGGTAAAGGAATACTGTAAAAAAATATGAGTAACTCTTGAGATTCTTAGTGCTTCTCACCACATTGCTGGTAAATTGAGCTGTATTTGTACTATGTGAGACAAAAATAATTTGTACACTTTGAAACACTGTGGGCTACATGAGTCAACAAGAGATTAACTGGCAGTCATGATGGTATATTGTGAGGGATGTGTATGTTTTCATATATGTAAATAGATGAACTCTCCAGTATGAACTCTGCATGAAGTGCTGCCTGCTGTACATAACTGCAAACACAGACTGCTGCTTTAAGTGGATGATAAAGGCAACATGTGTATACTTTCCCCTGATGAAACCTCTGTGGTTAGAATCCCCTTTGTCTACTGCTAGCCAAGCTGGGAGACTGAATTCTGATCATGTAACAAGTACATGCTAAGGTTTATAAAGTGCAAGCTGTGAACAGTTCGGTGCAACTCTTGCTGAGGATAAAAATAGCAGATTCTTTGCTCACTGTCTCTGAACTAGGTTCAGAACACCTCTTGTAGCACAAAAATAAAGTGTGTATTAATCACCCGAGGCTGCGACTTAGCTGTATGCATGGCCATTGTGCCACTGTTGTAGATCTACAATCACAGCTATTATAAAATATGCTTTCTGCAGTTGGCCTATGCTTTTTATCCTGGCCCTGTGTCTGTGTATGTTCTTCCTGGGGAGCATATAGCTTCTCTTTCTTGGTCTGCAGAGTATATGAGCCCACCACATACAATTGCTGAGAAACTGTTCAGTCACAGGACTGGTCAGGACTTGTTCTGCATCCAGAGATGCTTTATCAATAACAGCCTGCTGTGTTTAGGACAAACTCAAGCAGAACAACAAACACCTTATCCAGCTCTATCTCATCCTCTAATATAGTAGGTAGTTTCCAGGGATGAAACAGTAGCTGGCTTGCAGCGGCCAGTCAGATCTCTGCTATAGTTAAGGAAAGAAGATGTGTACTTGTACTCAAGTCAGAGAGATAGTAAGTCTGATTTTCTGACTAGCAACAGCTTGTTTTACAAACCTGGAGTCCACATAGTGGCTTTAAACATTGCATAAAAAAACACTATGCAGGTGAAGTGATACACAGCGCTGGATGAGCTTGGAGCTCTAAGGGAATTATTCCCACTGTTCACTATTGTGGGATTTGGAGGTATCAAGCAACTTTGTATGAAGGCTCATTTTCCTTGCTCACAGCAATTTGGGCTAGTAGCAGAGCTGTCCAAGAGATCCCTTGATGGTGGATGTTTGTCCACTGAATGCTATATACCAATGACTTAACTTCAATATAAGCCCACAGATCTTTCATATTTAGGGAATTAGTTTAAACCATTCTCCTTGCTAGGCTCTAAAATCTATCAATTCTATAATGCGGATTATGCTGTGGAATGTGCCAGTTAAGTGTGCCCAAATTGTGTTTTACCTTTTGGGACATTTTTCCCTACAGAGATTGAATTTGAATTTTCATATCTCTGAGGAATTCAGTGTTGCTTGACTAAAGTAATCGAAGAAAATCTGCAGTCCTTATGGTAAGAACTGTGATTGTTATACTGGCCGTTTTAGAAGCAGTTCCCAGACCAGAGCTCGTGGACCACTCCTGCTCCTCATTACCCCAGTGTTAATACAGAGCTGATCTGGTGGCCCCACAAGGACTCCTGCCCAAAGGCATCTGCCAGGTAGTGCCCTCCCAGTTTGTAAGGCAGCGCTACGACACAGTGCGCAGCATTTCATGTCTTCCTGAAACAGCATCACAGCCCATAATGGAGCCACTGGAAACCAGCTTAGGGAAATACGTACTGGTAAACTAAATTCCTTTAATCCCCTTCATCTGTGCAATTTTCCTCTCTAAGTGTGTTTCAAAGGAATTTTAATCCTCTTCCATGTAGGCCAGAGAAGACACTGCAGCCAGCAACTTATCCACACCTAACAGAATAGTTACCATTCTTTGTGTTCAGACACTGCCTTAACTAACTCTCAAGTGTGGCCAAATAGACAAGTCTGTAGGAAAGTTTGGATCTGTCAAAAACCTTTGAAATGTCAGATTGAAATGCTCATCCACCCTTGCTAATTAGCACTTTCCCCCCAACAGAGGACAAAAGACTTATGCACCCTGGGTGTTTTTCTTTACTCTGCTTTCCTTCATATGATGTAAAGAATTCCCTCTGTCCTCATTATTAAGACTTCAGAACACTGTTGGCTCTTAGTTTGTACTGATGATTTCACATGAGCTTGACATCATTAGTTATTGGGCTCCTGGTAACAGAGAAAAAGTAAATTTTAGCTTTTTCTTTCGAGATGATACTTGACAGGTAGGTGCTTTAGTCTTCAAAACAATTATGAAAGAAGCATAGCCTGATATAGGCAAAACCAGCAAAGAACTCCAGCCCATGACTGTTATCTGGGGAACATTTGACTATAGACGAAACTGTAGATCTTTTATTAGTATCAGCTTGATGAGCCTATTGAAGTTCCTCTGCAAAGTATGAAAAGTCACAAAAAAAGAGGAACACATAGTGCTCCTTCTTTGTACCATTATGTGAGGAAAGCTGTAAATAGCAGAAGTGTATGGCTGCTTGTCACACTTCTTCCTGTCAAGCAATTGGTCTCTTATTTATCTATTTATTTATTATTTAAACCTGGGGCTGGCAAGCAGAAGTTAGGGAAAACTCAGTGCATGAAAGCACAGAGCTATACATGGCTTATGAGACCTTTCCCCCCACCCTCTGTCTGAAGTGGCATGCACAGCTGCATGCCGCATGCATGCATGTAACTGGCTTGTGGATGGTGGAATAATTTCCTACAGAGGTCCACGAGTACTCCAGTAACATCTACCAACACGTGTAATTGCTTTGAGAAACCACTCCCTGACTCTTTTAAAAGCCAGAACTCCTCTAGTTGTTCCTTTCACCCAACTACCCCATGGAGTAGAGAAGAGGTAGCAGAGTGCCTTGTTCTGCCCTTCTTCTTCACCTGCCTCTCAGCTCCTTTTGGAGGGCACTGTGCCCCATGTAGGTCTGCAGTCCCCCTGACCAGACCTGTGCCACCATGGTTGGTTTGGCTTGGGAATAAACGGCACCAGCAGCTCAGAGCAGGGTCATGCCATGCTACAAAGAGACACTGTCAGACAAGGTTTATGGGTCTGGCATAGGCAGGTCTTGGCTGCTCAGTTTCAGAGCAAAACATCACTGTAAAAATGAAAAAAAAAAAAAGCCATGTCCTTGGCTGAGGATAAACAAACCCTGCAAAGCAAAGTTAATCCTTTTAGAATGTAAATATTAAATTAAGCTTTCATTTTAACAGCACCCATGGGTCTGTTGCCCTTTGGCTCTTCCCCTCTCTCCTCTGCTGAGGTAGGAGGCCACCCCTTCTGCAGAATGGGGAGCAAATTGCTCAAGGTGGGAGGAAGCTGTCATCGCTGGAGTCTAGTCTCGGAGGATCATGACACATGGAAAGAAAGAGGCATCCGTGGTGGACTATGGGAGAGAATCTGGTGAATAACAAGGAGGGTGTGCAGTCCTACTGGCCACTCTGAGATGAGGCTGAGCCTGGCTGCCAAGCAGTATATAGCATGTCCTTTAACTGCCTCTCTGCCCCCAGATTCATAGCAACATTGCAAAAGATGATGGCTTGTCTGACTGCTACAGACTCTCCAGTTAAAAAGCACAAAAAAAAAAAAAAAGAGGTAAGAGAAGAAGGAAAAAGAGGTAAGAAGGAGATGGAAAAAAGAGGCTGAGATGTAAAGAGCGGTGGCAAGCACCTAGAGCTAACACTTTTTGTGATGTTCATGAAAATAACTGAACCTGGGAAAGGGCTGAGATAGGCTGGCACTGTCATGTGCAGGGTGTCTCTCAAAGATAGGATGAGGAAGGCCAGTAGCTTTGGGTAAGGATCATTGCAGAAGGATAACACTCTCCTGTACAATTCTGTGCATCTTTGTGAGACTGCAAACCCCAAAAGGTGTGTTGTTTTTATTAACTAGTTAAGAGCAATTTCCAGTGCAGCAGCTTTGGCCCACTAGTCCCTTCTATGTTCCTCCTGCTTATCATAGAATCATAGACTCACAGAGTGGTTTGGGTTAGAAGGGACCTTAAAGGTGATACAGTTCCAATCCCCCCGCTACAGGCAGGGACACCTTCCACTAGACCAGGCTGCTCAAAGCCCAGTCCTGCCTGGCCTTGAACACTGCCAGGGATGGGGCAGCCACAGCTTCGTCTGGGCAACCTGTGCCAGTGTCTCACCACCCACACAGTGAAGAATTTCTTCCTAATGTCTCATCCAAATGTCCCTTCTGGCAGTTTAAAGCCATTCCCCCTTGTCCTCTCACTACATGCCCTTGTAAAATGTCCCTCTCCAGTTTTCTTGCAGGCCCTTTTATGTACTGGAAGGCATTCAGGGCTGCTTTCAACCCAGTTTCCTCACAGCCTGCATTTGTGCTTGCGACATATGATTTTAATGCAGTCCAGGGATGGATGTATTTGTTTGGCTTAATCCTGTGTTTCTGTGAGTAAAGTTTGCTGTTTCTCATAAACAATTTTATTTGCCCACCTGATCTGGACTTTGGGCAAATTGAAATTCAGATGTCTGCGTAACAGTGCCGAAAGGCACAGACCAGTACCTGGGAAATCTGTTGTGCCTGCCCAGTGAGGTGCCTTTTCTCCTCTCTGCTCAGCAAAAAGAGGAATTTTAAGTCACCCTGGCTTTCCATCCTCAGTTTGGAATTCTGTTGCTAAGTGGCAAAGAAAGAAGATTATCAGATCACAGATTAACAGAAACCTCTATTCAGTGCTCCTTTGTAATGTTACCTTTCTGTTACTTACTTGAGAACTGATTTTTAGCTGCTGTGCTCCTACTCCACCCTCACCCATCCATGATTCTGTTATCCTCGGGGGCTGGTCAGGATTCTGTACAATTTTCCTTTCCATGCTCAGCCTCTGTGCCCTGGGGTGGCTCTGCCTTCGAGGGTACCCCAAGGGTCTCTGCTCTTAGGGGGGGTGTCTCAGAAACTAGAGTCCTACCCTACCCCTCCTGAATGTTTTATATGGGGAGAAAGAAGGAAGGAGTTTATAAAATGTTTTGGAGAGTTCCTATATTTCAGAGGTCACCCATTTGCTTCCTTCATTGAGAAATTCTTTGTTTCTTTTTCTCTTTTCCCAGCCAGTGTGGTTCTACTCTCTCAAGCAAAAGCAGTCAAGCAGCTTCAGAAAGTGGATGAAGAAACATAACTGAGTGGCCAAGGTAATTATCAAATGTTAAGGGTGAATCTCTGGCACAAATTGCTTACAGTGGGGTTTGGGAGGCAAACAGTGAAAAGGGCACAGCAAAATCAGGAAACAGCATAGTTGGCCAGTGTCGGGGATGCAGACAGAAAGAGGGTTTGGGAAGGAGAGGCAATTTGACAGCTGGGAGGAGGGGATGGTCTTGCACAGCACATGCATTCAAAGAAGCATGAGGAGCAAAGGTCTCTTCATGTGGGAAAGCGGTTTAGATTATTTTAAGTAGAAACGCTTCACTGAGGAGAACCATGTAAGGAACAGGAGACAAAAGAAGGGCAGAGCTGCGCAGGGATGTGCCCCTGAGACTGAGCAGGAGGAAGACATGTGAGCTGAACATTTAATGGAGCAGGGAAGGGCAGGAGAAGAATTGCCCAGCTGAAATGGAAGTAAAAGGTAGGATTGGAAGGGAGGGATTGTGAGAAAAAGGAGCTGCAAAAACAACAGAAGGGAAGGGCGTGTGGAAGCAGAGAGGTAAACAGAAGTATACACATTCAGGAGGTGATGGACACAGACTGTGATGCAAATAAAGCACAGAAAGTAGTAATGTACAATTCTGTGAGCATTTCAACATACCTGCTTTCCAGGGCGCTGTATTTTCAATGTCTCATGTGCTTGAGTCTCCCAGGGAAGCAGGAACCCAAAACCAAACAAGACTGAAACATTTTTTTCTGGGGCTGTCTCTGTGTTTTAACCTGTAGCTGACATTAAACATGTGCTGCCCATGCACCTACACAAGGCCTTGTGTTTGACTGACATCCTCCTTTGCAGCACCCCTGGTGAAGGAGACATGACTCTTCCAGGAGAGTGGGATGGAGAGGATGGACTGCAAATGAAAGAAGCACTGACAGAAGAAAAACAGCTTCCTGTGGAAAACCTACAAAGCAAGGAGAGAGAAAGGGGTGAAAAATGTACTGTGTTGCATAGCACACAACAAGACTTAGATTTTTGAGGGAGGTGGCATCTGCTTTTGTGTGTAATTTTTTTCTTGATCCTTTCCTGTTCTTTGCTGTTAAAAAAAACCCAAACCAAACAACAAAAACCAATCCATAATAGTTCTCTTTTCTAAAAGTGTCACTGATTGGCTGTTCCTTTTTGCCTTGGGGTGATAGCCACACAGAAACCACCACACAGTGACCTGGGATCTCTCCTCCTTCCCTGTGTAGCTTGACTCATCACCTGTATAAGTCCAGCACCCTGGTAGAGCTGCCTCAGGTTAAAACCATACAAAGTTGAGAGGAAGAAGAACGAAGGAAAGGGGGTGGAGAGGTGCTTCTAGAGCCTTTTCTCTGTCATTACTTGATAATAAAATATGTAAGGAAACTTACTGCTCCCCCACGGTGCCTTTTGTTTGTCGTAGTTCTATTACTCAGGTTTATCGATTTTCTTTTCATTACAAAATGTGTCAGAACTTCTGAAAGAAAAAAGCCATAAGTGCTTCCTAAGGGACCTGTCCTCTGAGAAGAGGAAAGTGTTGGTATGTTGCCACAGAACATTTTTAAGAGATCAATGACAAAGCCAGACAAATCATTACTCTTTGGAAGGGATTTATAACCTGCAGAAAAGGAAAGGAACCACTAGAAACAGAGGCTGTGTTGCAGACAAAGACCTTGTTGTTTATTCCCATGGGCTTTATTGAGCTCAACTGTTTGCATTTTAATGCCAGTAAGGATGTCTTTCTAGACAAACCAAGTATCTTCCAGCGGCAAAGACACTGGAGAAGCCTCGCTGGCTGTTGCGTGGCGGTGCTGGGTGAGAAGATATTTTTTGCCAGCGGCTCTGCTCCCCATTCCTTGCAGAGGCGGCTGTAACGGGGTTTTCGGGTGCCCGCGGCCTGGCTGTGCCTCTCAGCATCCCTCTCGCCCAGGATGGATGCTCAGAGGCATCCCTCCCTCCACGCCACGGTCACATGCTGCCCCCTGGCGGCCTCAGATGCCTCCTCCTCCTCCCACCCCGTTTTGGGTGGTTTTTCATCAACTTCGGGAGAATCCCCTTTTTCTTTTCCCCGAAGCTGTGGGGCAGGAGCTTTCCTAACCAGAAGGAAAGATTCAGTGGATCTGCTCCAAGAAATGCGTTTCACCCCTGGTGCCTCTAGGGAAGTAGCCGGTCATCTGTTGGTAATAAAGGTAATAAACCAATTCTCTTTTCAACGATGACACCAAGGAAAATGCCTGCCGTTCCTCTGTTGCTGTGATTCAGAAGCTTATCTGTTGTGGCAGTTGGAGCCAGCCATAAATAACCTAAAAATCATTCTGTCGCCAAAGTAAAGAAGAAAAATGCTGAAGGCAGATTTCCCTTCCCTTTGAAAGGCTGGATTTCTTCCCTAATGCCCCACAAACAAACTTCATGCACTCGGGTAAGTCAGATATTGTCAGACTCTGACTCCTCTAAATAAAAAAGCACCGAGCCTGCTGGATCAGTAGGCAGCACAGTGGAGTATTTCGATCCCTGTTGATCCTTTAATCTGGCTATAGAGCTCAGGAGGAAAAGGTAGATGTGGGAGACAAAGAAAGAGGGGTTATCTGAGGGGCAGGGTTTTCAAAGGAAGGTCTCTCTGAAATGAACCCTGGTGGTACTAACTGCTAATTTATTTGTGGTATAAATTCCTTCCCGTGCAGCAAACATTCCTCATGGATTGTTTATTTCTCTCTAATACACAGCAGATAATTCTGTAAGCTCAGACTGGGGGGTAGATTCAGCACATTCTCTTCCAGAAACGATTTTAAGAACAGCTTCTCTCCTTCTTCCATGCCTCCACATACTGTGTCACATTGTCCTTTTCTGTTAATCCAAAACTTCAGATGATGCAATAAATAAGCTTCCAGGAGCCTAAAACCGTGTTTACAGCAGAACCTCACTGCCTGTAGCTTTCTACCTCAAATCATTTTCTTGCTCCTCACATGAGATCACATCACAAATGTTTCTGTTCTAGTCACGTGCTTCAGAAGTATTCTTTTTCTTTTTGTTTTGTCATAGGCCACAATATTCCTTCTCAGTGGAAAACCTGCATAGGATGTTTGAAAAGCATGGGACAGCACCATGTACTGCTCTTCCTTTTGGGTTTTGCACTGTGGCTGTAGTGTCCTGGCTGTGCCCATCCCAACCCTTTGTGCACACCCAGCCTACTCACTGGCACGACAATGTGAGAAGCAGAAATGGCCTTGACACTTATGCTTAGCGATGACCAAAACATCCCTCTGTTATCAACACTGTTTTGGTCACCAGGAAGAAAATTATACCAGAGAAACCCCGCAGAGTGGGATGCCAGACTGCGCTATGGGAAAAGGGTCACAATACAGTGGTGAGATCTTTGGTGAATTATACTCTGAAATCTCTCTTATAAATGGGTTAGTGGGGGCCTTGAATGTTCAGGGTTTTTTTTTTAGCAGAATGCTTGCTTAAATATCTTCTTTAAAAGACTTCCTTAATCCTTGAACAGTTAATTATGCTTCTATAACTGACCTGGATTAATTTATGAGTCCAATTTTACTTTGTTTGCTTTCCCAGCTGCTAATCCTGTGTTATGCTTACCATGTGCAAGATATTTATGTGTTGTCTTAATTTTAAACAAGTTTGCAGGAATTTTGTTGGATTTGACAGGAGGAGAACACAATGGGAAGGGGTGAGGATTTAAAGGCAGGTAAGATTTGGCTTTTTTTTTTAAAAAAAAGAAAAGAAAAGATTCTGAATGTCTTTCAAGTATTCTGAACTAATCTCATGGAGTAACATGAGCAGAGCGAGACAGGAAATTAAGCAGAGTTTGTAGTGGTGGTTGCCTTTCTTCAAGTTGTAAGAGAAGTTTTAATGGGAGAGAAGATCAGTTTCACCCTGTTTATCTGCCCTGTCTTTGGTAAGAGCATTCTAACAGCTTCAAAGATGCTGTAAGGTCACTTGTTAATTAATGCTTATTAATTCAAAGAACAGGGGTGTGAGAATGGTTCTCCACCCCTCTTTTAGGACATGTCCTTGGGATCTACTCTGGCTGCAGTCTGGGCTTTATCTGCCCCAGCTGACAGCCCTTTAGCCAAAGTGCTATAAACTCAGCTATTAATTCCACTAGCACCACCCATTAGGATGTTATTTAATGTGGGAAAGGTTATTTGTGCACAACCACACTTTTACACTTCTGACAGTCTAATTTGCTTGTTTGTTTTAAGAGATGCCTGAAACCCCTCACACAGAACTCTGCATGGATATGGTTTGGTTGGTCTGTGTTAGGGAAAAATATTTTATCCCAGTGAGGTAGAGTGTAGGAAGTAGGAATAGCTCCTCTGCAAGTTACCAGGACTATGGAAAAGTAAATATTTGTATGGGTCTGTATTTCAGCTCTCCTATATCTTACAGGAACAAAACAAATGTAGAACAGATGACAAGGAAGCTTTTCTTTAACAGGTCCTTTATTTTAACAGTACTTCTCTGGGGTCCCAATTCAAAAGGGGAGTGAGAGGCTGTCTTTCCTGCTATTGCAAAAGTCAAGCATGCTGGCTGCAGGACAAAAGTGTTCTGTGTACCATAGGATGATAAATGGTAAAACAGCGAGTGCCCTTGCACACAGAGCAAATCACCTGTCAACACTAGCTGTGTTGTTAGATGTGAGTTACATCAGGTGCAATGCATCATCTGGGAGACGTGATTTGGCTTCATCTAAAAGCTGATGCCGTAAGTACATAATTCCTTCTACTTGGAAGCTCTGCTTTTGGTTTTCTTCTCAAGGAAGGACGAAAGGAGTGACTGGTAATGCTTGCAGATTAAAAAAAAAAAAAAAGGAAAAAACTATTTGCCTTACATTAGAGAAGCAATGCTGGGAGTTCTTCATGAGGCGAAGGAAGCAAGGGAAGCAAGGAAGGCACCAGCTTGAACAGCATGGGTAGCAAGAGAAGTCAGCAAAGACAACCAGCTGTGCTGGAGGTCACCCAGGGGGGAATTGCAGTGCTGCCCCTGGTACTCAGCCTAGGGGCCTCCTGCTGCCCACTGCCACCAAGCCACTCCCAGCAGCTCAGTGTCTGCCACCATTCTATGTCCTACAGCTGCTCCTAGATGCCCCATCCCCAGCAGGAGAAGGGTAGTTGGCTCCTTCGGGAGCCTGGATTCAAGGCCTGAGGGATACCCATCAGTTGGTATCAGCACTGTCCTCTCAAGCTTCTGTCCTGCCCCAGGGTATAAACTTTAGCCATGCTCCAAAGATCTTGGCTAATGATTAGCCAGGGAATCAATGTAGTTTGTTGCTTAATCACTGGAAGGTGATATTTCATCTCTGAGCTTTATTTACTAGAGATAACAGATCTGAGAGAAATAATCTGATGAAACATTTGAATAGTAGGTCAGAAACCAGCTTAGAGCTGAAGCAGGAGGGCTATAAACACTCCCACCCCCAGTGCCCTGCAGAACAAACTGCCATGCAGTATTCCACAAGCATGTCCACAGCACCTTCTGGAGGCATTCCCACTGCTTGGCTGAAGACACTTTAGGTTGTATATTTCACTGAAAGGAGTTTCAAGGCGATTTGAAAACCAGTGCTCTAACTTTACACATATTCCAGCAACTAGGAGAAAATAAGGAAGTAGAGGGAACATCTGCACAGTATGAGTCCCTCTCACTTTGGGCTTCCCCACCTAATACACGGGAATGATGGAAGTCTTCTTCAGCAGTTGGCTGCTTAGTATTGAATAAAAATACAATTTTCAGCTATGCCTCCTACCCTCATGCCCCATTTCATTACAGCCTCAGTGGCTCCATGAATAGGGAGCTGTAAAAATGAGGGTCACCTCCCCAAGTTTCACACCCAGCAACAGGGAAACAGCCCTGCTCTGCCTCAAAATTATATCTGCAGCTTTGCCTACTTTGGTGGGTTTTCCAGCTGTGGAAATGAAGATGCGGTGCAGTGAAGAGGTTGTCATGGCCTACTATTGCTAACTACTGGTGCAACTATTTTGGCTGTATCCTCTTTGATTGCAAAACCCAAGACCC